CGGTGTCGCCGGGTCCCCTCCCCGCGGTCCTCCCGCCCCCTCCGCAGAATGAATAACGTCCCATTGCCCCCCGGCTGAAGGGACGCCGTGGCCTCGGGCCGCTCGGGCCGCGCCGAGCCCTCCCTCACCAGTCGCTAGATTAAAGGGCGCCGGCGGTCTCCGCGGGGTGGACACACGGCCGCGCAGGGACTCATCCTCAGTGACGGCAACGGGAAGAACCGAGGGGCGCCAGGGGGGAAGCGGGCCCCAGACCCGGGTGAGCTCCGGAGGCGGCTGCAGCTACAGCCACAACTACGGGCAGCGGGAAGGGGAGCGGGAGAAAGAACCGGGGTGGGCTGTACCCAGGAATAAGACGGGCGCTGATTGGCTGGGGCTCGTGTATGCCTCACGGGGGTTGGCTGCTGCCTGCCCAGAAGGCCTAGCGTGGCGGCACCTAAGCTGTGGCCTTTCCCCGGAGCCCGAAGGGAGGGTGACCCCGAGGGCCTGGCGGCCACGGCCGCAAGCCAGGGGCGGGGGACCAGCGGCGGTGGAGGAAGTGCACTTTCGGGGTTGGCTGTCGCCCAACGTTGCTCTCCCGACAGCTGGGGACTCGGANCAGCTCTGGAGACCTGGCTGCATGCCTCGGGCAGCCGGTCACCACACAGCAGAAGCCGAAAGCTGGGGGTCTCGGACAGAAGTGTTTCGTCCCGTCGCCCTACTAGTGGGGTCAATGGGAAGCCAAAGGCGTTGTCCCGAAGAGACGCGGCCTCGCCCCTCCGCGGCTTGCCACCTAGATTATCTAGGAGTCAGGCCCCGGCCAGAAGGCGTCGCCGCCCTCAGGTCTGCAGCGTGACAAGCTGCCCGCTCGGGTCACGCCACTCAGCGCCCGACGCTCGGCTCGCACACCCCTGAACTGCATCCAGAGGAGCGCTTTAAAAGTAGTCAAGTGAGAAGAAAAAAAAAAAATAGGGAAGAAAGAAAGTAGCTGCTAATCGATATTGGGAGCCGAATGGGAAACGTCCAGCTGCGGAATGCCTCCTACAGCAGGAGTCAGGGGATGTTTGTTCAAGGAGGGGCCGTGCGACTCGGCCCAAACAGCGCTGGGAGCTAGCTGGCCACACAGCTCTGCCACGCTGTCGGTTATGCAAACCCTGCACTCTCGCATCTGTAAAATGAGGAGTTGGACTAGATGTGTAAAGGGCAGCCTGTTCAGCTTTAGTCTTTTTTTTTTTTTTTTTTTTT